TCATCTGTACAGACACAGGGTGGCACTGCTTGCCTGCTCAGGCGCGGCCACCAGACACAGTGGTATGAGGAACCTGATATGTACTTGAGACCGGTGATCATGTGATCGCTATGCAATCACATGATCACAATGACAACAAATCGGTTATGAATCAATGCGATACATAACAGTTTTGCTTCCCTTACTAGTGAGCTGTGATTTGCCCACAGCTATAACATGGTACCTGGGTCAATCACAACTCCCTGTACCATGTGATAAGCTGTAGCTAATCACAGATCCCTAGTATTCTGAACCATGATGAACTTAACACATTCATGACCGTTCACAGCATTGCAATGCAAAGTGTAAAAAAAAAAAAAAAAAAAATCTGATCACCAACTCCCCCCCCCCAGAGTAGTACAATGTCATATTATAAAGAATTACAACTTCAAAAAACTCGCCATGCCTCTTACTAAATACCTCAGACTGTCTGCTTTCCAAAAAGGGGTAATTGTACTGTCCTGACATTTTAAGGGCTTCAAGAAATGAGATCAGCAGTCAGCACATCAAAAGTGATCAATTTTCAAATATATATCCCATAGTTTGTGATTGCTGTAAGCCTCCTACAGACTAAATAATATACACTTATTAAGATTTTTCTTTTTTACCAAAGACATGTAGCAGAATACATTTTGGCCTCAATTTATGATTATTTATATTTGATTTTTTAATTTGTTTGCTGGATATGTTTTATATAAAAAAAAATAGAAAATTGTTTTTTTTTTTTCTAATTATTTGGTATTTTTTTGTTTATAGAATAAAAAACCCAGTGGTGATCAAATACCACCAAAAGAAAGCTCTATTTGTGTGAAATAAATGATATAAATTTCATTTGGGTACAGCGTTGAAAAACCACGCAATTTTTAGTTAGAATACCACAGTGCTGCATAGTAAAAAAAAATGGCCTGGTCATGAAGGAGGTAAAACCTTCCGGAGCTGAGGTGGTCAAAGCACCAAAAAATGTCAGCACTATAAAAAAAAGGTTGGAAATATGCAAAATAAACAGATTAAATTGTTTAAAACCCATAGTGCTCTGGGCAATGCAATGGTTTTATTGTCCTCACTACAGCAGCATACACTTTCCTTTGCAGCGCTATCACTGTTTATGTAAATCATAGATTCATATCCACATTATTTTGCATTCATTTCTAGCCTACTCCTATTACTTTTAAGCCTCATTTACACTGGGCATTTACCCAGCTCTTCTGAATGCCGTTTTCCTGGCAGGAGAAAAACAGTGTTAAAAGCACGTCTACACCTGCATTTTTGAACCAAGATTAAGCATGTTTAGACACATTCAGGCGCGTTAAATATTTTGGTGGCAATTTATTTCATTGGCCATAATATTAAATTATTCTAGCCACTGAAATGAATGAATGCCCAAGTGTTCAACGCACCTAGATTTTAGGCTACTTTATAGACATCAGGCATTTTTTTCTGCCCAAATACTCCCCTCCTGAATGTGCAAGTGATTTTTTTTTGTCCCTTTAAAAACACTTCTGCCTCTAAACACCTGTAAACACTTACCAGAACTCAAAGGCTAACATACAGGAGTGTTTAAAAAGGCAGAAAAAAAAAGCACACCATATGCCTCTAACAGCCATGTTTTTTTAACATCCAGTGTGCATGATACCTAAGCATCTTGAACTTTGGTTAGGTATGGAGAGTATGTGACTCTTTCCCCTGCCACACATATGGTGACTGGCTCAGTGCTGTCATATGGGGGCAGTTAGAGCCCTCAGCTCTGGGTACACTCCAACTGGAGCAACTCAGAGCTTACACAGGGATGTCCTCAAAAGTGAAATATCTTGTATGTATGAAAGCTTGAAAAAAGTAATTGAAAGAGATTGTATTTACAGATCTCAGTAACCCTCAGACAGAGATAGAGGAGTGCAGTTGCTTCAGAGCTTAGTAAATGTGGTAAAGCCTCACTTTGCAAAGAATACCCAATTACATGCCAGGAAAATAGAAAAACAGCATTTTTTGCTTGCACGTGACTGGATGATGAAAGTCAGCAGAACTTCTGCTCATTTACAAAGCTCTGGAGCAACTGCTTTTGCAGAGTCTATTTGACATTAGTAAATCAACCCCACCTTGATTAATGGAAGTTTGATAGAATTTCTAGGATCTATGAATACTGTTTCTTCAAATTGCTCTTTTCTCATATAGTATGGACAGCTCCAATATAATTTATCTAGTCTGAGAAGTATTAGACTGGATTGATTTCTTCAATGACTGAATTCCTGTTTAAAGCCAAGTAATCTATATCCTGGTTTTCAGCTATATATACCTGTAATTTTATGCTCTCAGGCCAATTAAAGATCTGCAGGTTAAATATTTGCCCCATGCGGACTCGGAAGTCATGTCCCAGCCGGACTGTCACAGTTCTGGAAACTTCTTTATTGTTGAAAAGAATCTTTATGAACAAAGAATGCTTCAGTACATCCTCACGTCTCAAAACTTCTCCCCTAAAGAGCAGATAAAAGGAATATGGGCCTATTATAAATCAACAATGAAAACATAACCTGTTATGATATTTTACAGTGGGTAAAGCATCTGCAGGATATCATGATCCTTCTTGAAAGAGTGTCTGGCATTCACAAGAATGAATAAATGAGAGGATAAATTCAGGGTGTAACATTACAAATGCACTCCCCCCCCCCCCCCCCCCAAGTACCTTATATGACAGCTAGCGGGGGATATTTTTCAATTGCTTGCAGTCACAAACGTAAACGCATCCGTGCGAGGCTCCATTCGCCCGGCTGCATCATTCATTCACAGTGTTCTGTGAATGGGAAAACTAGCCTTTGCGGCTGTCAGCTTTTTCAAACAACTACAGTAGCGCTGTTGATCGCTCTAGATAGTTCACTGAGCTGCCTGTCAGAGTGTAACAACCTGCCCATATAACGGAGGTAAGGGCAGACAGATAGACAGTTTGCAGGACTGTGGCATTACACCCATGATCTGCTGATCATGGGTGCAATGCTTTACACGTCACTAACGAAAAAAAATATATAATAAAAAAAATAATGCATGCATTTTTTTTACCTGCAAAAAAAAAAAAAAAAAAAAAATGTGCATTTATTTTTTTGTAAAATTGAACTTATCCTTTAAATTATTATAATAAACAATGAAAACATGGTTATAAAAATGGTGCTGATCATTATCCACACATGCAGTGCTGGTCTCATCCCCAGAACTCATTAACTCTTCACCAGCTGGTTAAAAGCTTCACTTGCATTTCATACAGAACAAGAAAGCAGCAGCATATTAGTTCTCTAATGGCTCAGCATTGTTAGGATTTAATATGGAGTTCTGGGTACAGATGACAAATCCTGCAGCTTACTTAATTATCCCAAACATTAAAACAACACCCAACAGTTAACGATCTCTCTCTGTGCTAGAACATACATTTATTCCTGGATGAATGCCTTAAATCTCGACTCCCCACCTTAGCGTTTGACCCATAATTTTTGCCTTATAACGTAAACCTTATCCCATAACACTTAACCTTCACCCTGTAATTCCAGCCCTCACCAGCACACCCAAAACTCTCATTAAAAGCCTTCCTTTGTAAAAAAAAAAAAAAAAATACATGCAATGTCTCAAACGCACAAAACTCAGGCTGCAGTGACCTCACTCTAGCTGTATCACATAACTCCTAAAGTGAGCTCTTAAAGATTAAAGGATAACTCCACCTTTAGCAATATGTTACTTGTTAAACCAAATCCCCCTCCCCCCATCAGTGACAGCATGGGGGGGTTTTTCTCCCCCACAGCAGTTGTTGCATTTGAATCCACTGACCGTGGGTGTAATGAATTGCAGGCTACAGTAAAAAAACAAAAATAATAAATGCTCATTTTTTTTTTAACAAAGGATGGCATCACATACTCATCTTCTCTTTGATCAACCAGTGCTCCAAAAAACACCCAGTACTTCTGGATATGGGAGAAGCATGCGAGTCACTCCCTATTCTGCAATATGACAGCACTGAGGCTTGGTGATTGGTCACTTGGACACCCAGTACTGTTAAATGGGGAAAGCAAGAGAGTCCTCAGCCCTGTGCAGACTTCAAGTCCCAACCTGGAGCTTAAACGTGGCCTCCTCTGTTTACTCTCAGCAGACAAAACGGAGTATCTGCAGAGTGTCGAGAAAGTATGTGCAGCCAGAGCAATCAATATTAAACTGTAACTAAACCCATTGATTTAAAATGATGCCTGTGCGCTCAATCGAATTGTCACATGACTGGTGCCATAATTGATCACGTGTGCAGTGTCATGAAACTTCAGATCAAACAGAGCATAGGATGGCAGCTTCCTTGGCTCTAAAAGGATAGGATGGTTTAGTTCCATTTTAAAATGAGTTTGCATGGGCAAAGCATTGGTTTCCTGCAAAACAATACTAATCTTAACCCAAAATGTAGACTAAATCCCTGAGCCTAACAATAACCTAACATACTTTGTTCTTTATACTTTTACTGTATTCTTGTTTAAGAATAGCCATGTTTGCCAGGTGATCATGGTATTGGTATTTGTTCCACATTTACCAGTAAACAAGAGAAGATTCCCTCTAATCTGCATGGCAAGTTCTTTCCAACTCCAGGAAGAAATATTGTCATCAGCAAACACCAGCTATTATGGCAAGTGGCAAGGCAGTCAAGGCTTGCTGATCATTCCACAAGAGTTTTTTGAGAAGTCTACTCTTCTAAGCCCATCTGGCACAGATCTCGCAATAACTATGGATCTCTTCCTTGAAAAGATAATTAATAACAATCAATTAATATTTTACCTTGGGCAATTGTTATCTGGGGTGACATATCCAGACAGGCTTAGTTCAAGGTTGAGGATAGGCTCTCCAGGTCTTCTCCTGATGTTGGCTGCTTTATCTCGCACTTGTACTTCTACATCATATCTGGCTATTTGTGTGGGCAGGGAAGGTTTAGTTGGTTCTTCTACCATATAGTCAGCCTCAACTTCATCATCTTGTTCCATACCATCCTTCTTCTTACCCTTCCGCTTCTGCAATAAAATAAAACAGAACGGAGCATTTAACAAAGCAAATGAATTGCAGTGCTAATGCCACCCTAGGTCCAGGGATGAATTTGGAAGTTTGTAAGCCCTTGGTACTCAATGGCCTTCTGCCAGGACATCACATCAAATTTGTGTAAGGAAGGTAGTGACACAGCCATCATTATTTCAAATGGTGTGTAATTTGGAGGCCTGAGCTGGAGTAAGAGCAAGCGTGGAACAATGAAGTGTGGCCGTGCAATTTGACTTTAGTGATTCTTTTAAAGTATATAGTACAAAGTGAGTCAGTTTGGAAAAAAGTCCATCTTGTTTAACCAATTGCAAAAAAAAATGCAAAAAAATAAATGAAAACCTCCATAAACACAATCATACACCCACAGTTTCCTCTGCCTTTACTTATTTTCTCCTTTTATAGGATCTAAAAATATTGCACTGTACTTACAACTATCTAAAAGAAACGAAAATGTTTACACATCCAGTCATATATTTTAAAGCAGACCTTGCACTAAAGCCCCATGGCTTCTGCCAATGTTTCTGGCAAGATCCTGGGAACAATGGGGATCCACACTCTCATGAGAACATGCACCTGCACTGTGCTGAAGCATCTTCTCCTGAGATTTGGGATTCTCTGCAATCAACAGAATATAATTTAATTGCTGAAAAGACATTAAGTCACCACCGTAGGGAGCATGGAACAGCTTTTTCTCCAGAAGAGGCAAGTACTTAATACATATCTATGGTCAAAGATTAAAAATATATATTAATTTCCAAATTGCATTTCAATTATTTCTAGCCTATCCCATTTATCTAAACAATGTTAAAGTTTATAAACTTACTTTAAGAAGATCCCCACACTTTTACCTCCTTGAATTCTGTAACGCATTCACTATGCCCTTTATAGGCAATGCTGTGTCATGGTCATTGTGGAAAGAAATGACCAGCAGACATGCAAAAATCACAACACAAAAGGATTTTTTTTTTTTTGTTATGAAATGAGAATGTATCTGGGTCAATAAAAACGCCTTTAAATTTCTTCTGCTGCTTTTTATATATCCAGCCATAAAAATGGCTAACAAGATTATTAGCTGTACGTTAATATTTGAGTATGCAGAGGTCATTTGTAGAATATGGGCAAGCCCTCGAGGGCAAGTCAGAAAAAACAGAGACTGGCAAAAACAGACAGAAAATATGGATGGTTCAGATGGGAACCAATGAGTGAGGCAGCGAGGATACGTCAGGCACGGGTAGGAGAAAGAAATGATACAACCAAACTCAGGGCAGCAGAAAGGCACTCGTCTGAGCAGAAAATAGGTGGAGTTATACAAAAACTGACAGCAAACTGAAATCCACCAATAGAGATTTTTGAACATTGCTCAGTATGGTTGCGCTTTGCTTTACTGAACCAAACTGGCAGTGGGTCTCTTGTCACAAAGAAGGCAAAGGGCTGGTTAATACTTCCATGTAAGAAAGTGCAATATATTTTCACGTTTCATGCTCTTATTTTATGTTTTTGTATGTCATTTTCATGGAGATACAACATTGTAAAACAGTCCCCATGGCTATAATGGCAGATATCTAATCAGGCACCAGTATACAGCATCACAAGCAGTTTTTTGCTCAAAAATGAACAAGCTTGAATGGGGCCATCGAAATACAAAAGGGGGACATTTACTGAAACTGGAGCACTCAGAATCTGGTGCAGCTGTACATGGTAGCCAATCAGCTTCTAACTTCAGCTTGTTCATTTAAGCTTTGGCAATAAAACCTGGAAGCTGATTAATTTCTATTCAGAGCTGCACCAGATTTTTCACTCTCCAGTTTTAGTAAATCTCCCTCAATGTGACTAGTTTTGTTTTTTTTTTTTTTTAAGAGCATGAATATGTACCTTCCTCACCCTTGACACCACCAAACTTCTAGTACACTCCCTCATCATCTCACGCCTTGACTACTGTAATTCTCTTCTCACCGGCCTACCCAAGTGCAGGCTCTCCCCGCTCCAGACCATCCTGAACTCAGCGGCCAGACTCATCCACCTCACCACCCGCTCCACCTCTGCCACCCCCCTCTGCCTATCCCTCCACTGGCTCCCGATTGCCCAACGCATCAAATTTAAACTCCTAACCCTGACCTACAAAGCCGTTCACAACACTGCCCCTGACTACCTCACCAACCTGATCCCCAAGTACCGCCCTACCCGTACCCTTCGCTCCTCACAGGACCTCCTTCTATCCTGCTCCCTGGTCTCCTCCTCCCATGCACGACTGCAGGACTTCTCCAGGTCCTCCCCCATCCTCTGGAACTCACTGTCCCAATCCATCAGACTGTCGCCTTCCCTCTTCACATTCAGGCGCTCCCTCAAAACCCATCTCTTCAGGGAAGCCTACCCCACCCTCACCTAACGGCCATTCTCCCTCTTTCCTCCCACCCCTCAGCCACTTACTACTGTACCTTTACCTCCTCCCTCCTAGATTGTAAGCTCGAAAGAGTAGGGCCCTCTTACCCCTCGTACGTTGTTTGTTATTGCTGTACTGTGCCATGTATTGTCCCTCCCTCTATTGTACAGCACTGAGCAAACCCTTTGGCGCTATATAAACTCGAAGTAATAATAATAATAATAATATGCCTCCACAGTAGTTTCATCAGATGACAACCCTATTATTTTTTTATTTTAAGTTATATTATTTTGGTTCTATAAAGCAGCCATGACAAAGATATTGATGGTATATCCAAGGTCCAGAAACAAAGGGTACAAGATCAGTCTGGACTCAAAAGGAAGCACATATTACATGCATAGGAAGACGAACAGCAGGTTTTACCAACAGTGTGCAGTACAATAAGAGGTGATGGTCGCTGATCGGGTGGTAGGAGGTAAGTGGGACCTGTACTGGTAACACATCACCCCGAGGCCCCGTAGTCATAGCTACACTAGTGGTCTAAATGCTTTAAAAAAAAAAAAAACACCACACACCTCTATGTATAGGGAATAAAAATCATTGTATGCAATACCTGGGCCTTCTTCCATGACTTCCAGCGCTTCAGGTCAGTTTTGTATTGGTTTAGGTTCTTTTCATATTCCTCCATATATTCTTCCATTAATTCATTGACTTCAGCTTGAATTTCAGCTTCATAAGCTTCTTCATCAGCTTTCCTATTAACTTCCTCCCTGAAACCAGGACAAACAGTATTTAAAGCTTTTCATTGGAATCATTGAGTGTTCTTGCAGTTAGAAGATTTCTCTTACCATTCAGCTGCCACGTGTCCTGCACATGTTTTGCACTGCATTATGTGAATTCAGACTGCCATAAGGAATGCCAGAGGCATTATTACTAAAAATCATAAGGATCATTTAAAATCATAAATATGTGACAATGAAAACCAATCAGGATATAAAATAGGCTCCTGTTGACTTGAAGGTGAGAGCTTCAGGACTGTCATCCTAACTTTTATTTAAATTAAATTCATGCTGTGAAAAATACAGAAGCTAACATTGCTGACTTAAACATGCTAGTTCCTGGTCCCTGAGAACAAGCAGGTAACTATTGCCGTCCAAAAGAAAAGTCATAACTCTACATATGCATACTTGTCTTATGTTAGTGACTCATGAACATTTTAAATCCTTTGATCATGATAGCCAGTCAAAGAACATATTCAAAAGAAGAGTTTAGCAGTGGTATCCTATGAACTCTTCCAGTATAGGTTCCCAATACTGAGCCATATTCATGAAAAAATAAATACAAAGGATTTTTTACTTCACTGGCTGCACAATGTCTGAGGTAGCTGGGTGAAATATACAGTTTAAATGAGCAAATTGTTTTTACAAGTGTCTTCCTAATTTTGGCTATGCTAACAGGTGATGTGATGAACATGTCTGCCTGTCAATGTCTAAATCCTTTGACTGATAGTCTTATCTTCCCATGATATACAAAAAGGGCAATCCAGAGGTCTTCTATGTTTGCTTTCATTCTTGCAGCTCCTCCATTCTCTGAAGATCTTCATTTTCACTGGCTCTGTGTAGAGGTCGGTGTGCTCTCTATGGCACAGGTCTACAGCTTGGACAGCACAGGGCTCATGGGCTCATGACATATCAGCATGGATGTCATTCCACTTCCTCAAACTAAGTCTTTCCAAAACGGAGCTCATATTTTCTCCAGCCCATGCCCCCTCCCCTGACTTCTCCATCAAGATCAACAATACAGCCGTCAGTCCCTCCCCTCATTCCAGGGTACTAGGTGTAATCCTGGACTCCCATCTGTCCTTTCAGCCCCAAATCCAATCACTGTCCAAATCTTGTTGTGAAGGTGAAGTCTACATCTCCTAGATACACCCGTTCTTAACATCTGAAAAAACTAAGCAAATTATTCACTCCCTTGTTATATCTCGCCTTGACTATTGTAACTCCCTCCTCATTGGCCTACATAATCGCAGGCTATCCCCTCTTCAGTCTATCATGAATGCTGCTGCCAGACTCATCCACCTTACTAACACATCCATATCGGATTTCTCTCTCTGCCAATCCCTCCACTGGCTTCCTGTTGCCCAACGGATAAAATTCAAAACATTAACAATAACATATAAAGCCATTTGTAACTCTGCCCCAAGTGACATCACCAATCTTGTTTCCAAATATCACCCAATCCGTCCTCTCCGCTCCTCACACAACCTCCTGCTCTCAAGCTCCTTTGTCTCCTCCCATGCTAGTCTCCAGGACTTCTCCAGAGCCTCCCCCATCCTCTGGAACTCTCTACCCCAATCTATCCAACTATCACCTACTCTGCCCACTTTTAGACAATCTCCGAAAACCTCTCTCTTCAGGGAAGCCTATCCCGCCCTGAGATAATAATGGAATCTTCTACTCCTCCTATCAGTTCATCCCCCACAGTTATTACCTTTTGTACCACCAGCCCCTCCCCCTTAGATTGTAAGCTCCAAGGAGCAGGGCCCTCCTAACCCTCTTGTATTGAACTGTATCGTTGCTGTATTGTCTCCCTTTATATTGTAAAGCGCTGAGCAAACTATTGGCGCTATATAAATCCTGTATAATAATAATAACAACAACATCATTTGACCAGCTTTGCCTGCATTTCCAAGGCATCTCAGCAGGATTTGATGCTATAGCATTGAAATAAACGAGTATCTACTCTACCTCATACATCATTAATACTTACTTTCGCAAGTAGAGTTTCACTGGTGTGTTGCTGAACTTCTGAAATTCCCGCAAGGATTTTATCTCTTTCCAAACTTTTATGAGGGACTTCAGGAGGGTTCGGTCTTTTTCTTGCTCTGCATCTCGGAATTTTCGAGTTTGTCTAGAAACAAAACCAGTATTTTCAATAAAGCAGACTTCCAACCCACAAAGCAGAAATGGCCTGCTATAATGCTCTGAAGTGGAAGGTATTATGTACATTTTACCCAATCCTTGTATTTAAAAGGATAACCTTAAGCATCATTTTTCCATTTGAAAGAACAAGCCTAGTTTTGAATAACGTAATTCCTGAGGAACCTGCTCTTTTCCATGCACATACAGTATATCCTAGTTTTATTTTTCCTTTGTATGTTTTAGGTTTTGGAATGGACTCAGGCCTACAGATCACATGACAAAGCCGTACAGCAAAAACAATGCTGTTTCCTAATTGTCAAGGGTAGGGGCATAGCTAAACACATACAGGCTCTAGTGAAAGAGTTCCTCAACCCTAATATTGTACTCATTCCTCCAGACTCTGGAGCATCTCCAGCCCCCTATAATCTGACTCAAGCATATCAACCTTGTAACTAAAACACCCAACTCTCATAGCCCCCGTCCTCCGCACTAATGCCCCCCTCTCCTGCACAGTATGTCTCCTCTTCTCAAGGATAAATGTCATGTTTCACATGACTGTCATATGCCTTTAAGTGTTCTCTATATTTTCTCTCTACTCCTCCCTTTCCTCTGGTTTAGTTAATGCTGTATAGATAGCCCACCCTTTTTCCCAGAAATTCATTGCAGCTTCTAGCCTCATGTCATGAAGCAGGTCACATTATGATCTTTTGACCTATCAGATGTTCATTGCTGTAAGATTCTCTCAGTTTATGGAATAAACTTCACAAGATCTACAAGATGTCTTCTGTATTGAGTCACTGCCTGTGATATTCAACTAAGATTGGAGTTATCGCTATCTCATCACAACTGTAAGTTACAGAGATCACACTTTCAATGCTTAGATTGGAGAGACAGAACAATAAACAATTTAGTTGCTTACGTGCATAAGGTAATGGTGATAATAGGTGGACTAGGTGATGTAAAGCCCTCCTTAAACAAGAGTTCCAACTGTAATCTCTGCTACACCCCTTCCTACATCACTGACCAAGGAGTATAGATAGATGAAGACTTTTTCCATTGCCCAAAATCTCTAGCTATGTAGGGAAAATGCAAAAAAAAAAAAATCCATCCTTTGAATCTACTCCAGTGATAAATAAACGTATCACCCCTTCACAAAAGGTTTAAAGCTTCATACATGGTTTTTAGAACTGCAATCTATATGTATCTTCTGGTCAAAAAAAAAAAAAAAAAAAAAAGTCAAAGCCGAGACTTAAATTAAATTAGAAAAAAAGGACACTGTTCACATGAGCATGTAAAACATGTTAAGGGATGTTGCAATTTCTTATTTTTTTTTGAGAGAGAGCTTTAATATTAGTTTTGTCAGCATCAGGGGTGGACTGACCATTTGGAAACTCGGGCACTGCCCGAGGGCCCGGGGTCAGTAGGGGGCCCCATAAGATGCCCCGGTACCTCTTTTCATAGGCTTGTTTGAGTTTGGGCAAGGACACAGGGGCCCCATTATCCTCTATTGCCCGGGGGCTCCATGAGTTGTCAGTCCGCCCCTGGTCAGCATGTTGAAACCAGGAAGGTTTCAGCACTTTTTTTCTGCTATATTGCACCTTGCCATTACAGGGTAGTAATAATTGCTGCTACTGGGCCAGTACAGCACAATACTGTTGTGATCAATGACAGCAATTCAATTGTTATTAAAAGACTAAAAGAAATCATATAAAAAACTGGATATAAAAAGGAATGCAGTTTTGTAAGACAAGCTCTGATTTGTGCCCAATGGTATGATTTCAATTAGAACCATCTCCCCAGCACATTTATTTCTTAGCAGTGCTTTAAAACCACACAAAATTGAAACCATTTAAGTATTTTCAATATGCCACATTTGCAGCCTATTTCAGAAACATTTCTTCTATGAGGTCATCCCAATGAATAGAGGCTCTGCAGGGACAGAGGAATTCTCCTGGCTCCTATAAAAGGGCTAGATGAACCATTTTTGTAGCGACTGCAGCATTTAAAACATATGCAGGCCACACAAATACACTGTCAAATAAACTCTTTAAAACAGCACTACAAAGTTAACACCATGACAAAAAAAAAACGCATTAACAGGCAACATTTATCAAAGCAGTGCCAGTGCAAAGAGCTATGGGCATACTACAGGATTTACAAAATCCATCTTGTGCTAGTACATCAAATTCCCAACGGATGCTTTGGGTTACTGAACTATGCACTGAATGAGGCTGGATTGTGTTTTAACAAACTGAAATATTTATAGTATAATAACCTAACGTGTAGTTCTAGATAAAAGTTTTTGTTTTGGAAAGAGTAGCATAGAGTTAGAAGCCCTGTTTTTTGTGTGTGTTCTGTTAGAGAGATTTTCCCCATTTCCTACCCTTAAGATTTAAACATACTGCCAAAGTGAGAGTAAATCTAAGCAAGTAAGTGGCTAAATGGTTAGCACTTCCGCCTGGCAGTACTAGGGTCATTGGTTCGAATCCCAGCCATGGCACCACCTGTCTGGAGTTTGCATGTTCTCCCTGTGCCTGCGTGGGTTTCCTCCGGGTACTCTGGTTTCCTCCCACACTCCAAAGACATGCTGGTAGGTTAATTAGATCTTGTCTAAATTGGCCCTTGTATATGAATGTGAGTTAGGGACCTTAGATTGTACACCCCTTGAGGGTTAGGGACTGATGTGAATGTACAATATATATGTAAAGCGCTGCGTAAATTGACGGTGCTATATAAGTACCTAAAATAAATAAATAAATCTCCCTTAGACAACTGTCACCTAAACCTGATTTAAAGCCCAAGTGCCAGTGAACTTAAAATAGTTTGGACCAAGCTGGTCAGCTACGCACAGTATACACCACTGTGTTCCAGCAGCAGTATGGGGACTTCTGTCCAGCTCCAAAACAAAATCGAACCATTCACGGGAAGCTTTGTGTTTTATGGAAGAATAACAAGGACTCGATTTTTCTCTGGAAGTGGGACAAGAAATATCCAGAACACAGCGCTATATAGAGTTTGTAACTCATATTACATATAGTTTATACAAGTGTACACAGTCATTGCATGTGTGAAGGAAGCTGGTCCAAGTAAACTAATTAAAGTTCACTAAAACCTGGAGTTAAGCCGGCCATACATGGAATAAAATTCAGCCACTTCAGCCGGAACTGGCCGAATTTCTATCCCTATATGGGCAAGCTGGTTGTACACACATCGATCTATCGATCAACTTGTGTACAATCAGCCTGTCGGGTTTTTCCTGAAGAATCAGTGCTGCCAGCTATAGCCGGGTACACTGATCACTGCATTCTGCTGACGGGGAAGCCTCCCCACCGGCAAAATACAATAGCTCAGCAGGAGGAATCCCCCCATCCACATCAAATGCATAGATTTGGGAATAGGTTCATTTTTTTTCAACCAGCAAAGGAAATTTGAATTGGGTGGCTTTACAAGCCTTCACCATGTTCATGGACAATCAACATCTGCCTTGACACATTTCCATAGCGATTAGATGACTGGGTTACTCATGTGGCTATAGATATTGGAGTATGCTCCTGACATTTAACGGGGCTCAAAAAGCTACCTGAATAAACAGCAAAATGCCATTAAAATGACATTTCAATGTGACTAACTATAACTAGCTATACCATGACCCAGATAACTGAGAACCTCCGCAGACCTATTGTAATTGATTGCTGCTGTTGTAATAAATGAGGTCCAGTGGTACTGGGATAGATACAAGACAACAGGATTTGTTCAAAGTAAAGCAGCAATACAAATAAGATGGTTGCCGCATCAGGTTGCCGTCTATGCTGACTGGCAGCCAGAAGTCCTCTGGCTAACAGTCCTTGTGGGTAACATCAATAGGACAAGTTATACTGATTGTAAAGGCAGATTTATTTATTTTTTTTATATAACAAACATTTCATACTTACCTGCTCTGTGCAATGGTTTTGCACAAAGCAACCCTGATCCTCCTGCATTTTGTTGGATTGAGATGGGGCTCAGGTAGGTATTGGAAAGGGGGGGGCTGCACACAGAAAGTTTTTTACCTTCATGCATAGAACCTTTACAACCACTTTAAAGTGCTACTAAACCCACAACAGTAAAATCAGTCTGTATATGCAATAAAGCATGCTTGATACATTCCATGTGGAACCTAAAGTGTTAATTCTCTGCATTGTGTAAAAATGCGGTTTGATCCTGACTTCTCTGATCCTTCCATTCTTCCAATGCCCCCCCCCCCCCCCCATCTTCTGATAAGAGATCGTGTGGAGACACTCTGCACATGCTCAGTTTGGTATGTATTGCTAGAGAGGTTTTTTTTTTTTTTTTTTTCTTAGGAGAGTGCATGTGATCAGCATAGGGCCAATCAGAACTGTCCAGACAGAGGTCAGGGGTTCTGCATCCTCCTACAACAGAAAGTAAACGCCTCCTGCAAGCTTTAACCAGTGCTCTGCTGGAAACTGATAGAAATCACAAGACTGCTCTAACTGCTGATGAGAAAAGGCATTTGGCAGTTTATATTTACTAAAATAATTGCAATTCTATGTTCTGTGTACTGTGGGAGATCAGATAGAGTGAATGCAGGGTCCTGGGTTTAGTAACACTTTAACTAGTCTTGGAAGGTCTGTTGCCACAAGGGCAGCTGGGTTCTGCTTGCATATCGAGCAGCTATTTATATTCTACATAGGAATATCTATGGTCGGCATATAAGTTCAGTTCTGGGCAGATGACCAGAAATTCCTTGATAATTATGGGTGGGACAGAACATAAAGCAGACAGACAGAATAACACCAGATACACTTCGCAGAACAACAGAGTTTACTAGCTAAAAAAAAAAAATCCACATGATGTTTAAATAGACCCAGGATTGTAGAATAATAAAAGGAAGGCATGTAAACATTTTTTTATTATTATGCATCTTGTGCTTTATTATCTCCCTAAGGAATGTAATCTAGAACATATGTTGTGTACGTCTTATAAATAAAAATAAGTTGAATACAGGAGAAATGGAAAAAAATGTAAACTTTCATATGATAATTTTGATGCTTTAGAGAAATTCCAGCCCAACTTTTTTCCCAGTTCTATTCATATTTACATACTTAACTGCTTTTTTTTGTGAAATTCTGGATGGTAAAGGCACCACAGTGACATGTTTTTGGATTGTTTTCCTTCTTCTAATGCAGGTGCATGGTCTTAAAACATATCAGTACAATGGAGGTAGTTTACCTCTCCAGATACAACTTCAGGTCTCCTCCTGAATAAGCTTGGGATGTAGCTGGAAGTTTCATTTTCTTCAATTTCGTTTTTCCAATGTCAACCAAAGAGTATCCATCTTGGCTTGTGCACTTCCCAATTGTTGAGAGTAGGGAGAGTGTCTGAAATGTTGGAGTGACCTGCTGCTCTATGGGATAACTTGACCTACTGATATGTCCTGAACAAATCACCTTTTTGTATGTGTATTTGAACTATTTTACATTCATTAAAGTGGTTATATCTGAACTATCCAGTGCATGCCATTTCCGTTTCTATTTTTTGCATGTATATATGGCCTTTGGATATACACCAAAACTTGACTCAGTGTGCGCCCGATTCTTTCCTCTATGCCCAAGACAGCTTCAACTATGCACAATGGAACATGGGAGAGCACAGCACAAAAAAGGCTGTTAACCTACCTAGAAGCAACTTAATACACTGTAAGGAAGTAAATTAATAATAGGGTAAACCGGATGGCTTTCTAAATTTAGCATAGTTGCAATATTAAATATATACAGTATAAGCAGTTCACACAGCAATTTTACCTGCCGTCTGAAGTTATTAGTTTAAGTATTTTCACAAACGAAATACCTGATGTCCAGCTTATATTCATGGATACTTTGTTCCGTTATAGTGCTGGAGCCATGGGTACCTCCTGCAGAAATGTCTGTACAGCATTCCTCAGTGCATGCAACTGAAGACAAAAAATAAAAATGATCAGTAAGGCGGGTTTGTCTGTTTCTTATTATAAATTGGCTGCCAACTATATGATTTCAGAGTCTGATAATAGAAGAGTAATGTAAAAATCCTTCTCTAATATGTCACGCTGAGAACAGAGAGTCACCTTCAATCAATGAAAGAAGTCTTCAGTTATCGTACTGGAGCAAAGGCAACAGTCTGAAGAAAACTTTTTTTATTTAAAAGAAAGTTTTCTTCACTTTCTTTAAAAAACATCTGGGGCATCACTGGATGCACATTGAACACAAAGTACCCGTATTTTTCGCTCCATAAGATGCACCTAGGTATTAGAGGAGGAAAAACGAGGGGATGGACCAGAGACTGCGGACACGGTACAGGGGATGGACCAGAGACCGCGGACACGGTACAGGGGATGGGCCAGAGACCGCGGACACGGTACAGGGGATGGGCCAGAGACCGCGGACACGGTACAGGGGATGGGCCAGAGACCGCGGACACGGTACAGGGGATGGGCCAGAGACCGCGGACACGGTACAGGGGATGGGCCAGAGACCGCGGACACGGTACAGGGGATGGGCCAGAGACCGCGGACACGGTACAGGGGATGGGCCAGAGACCGCGGACACGGTACAGGGGATGGACCAGAGACCGCGGACACGGTACAGGGGATGGACCAGAGACCGCGGACACGGTACAGGGGATGGACCAGAGACCGCGGACACGGTACAGGGGATGGACCAGAGACCGCGGACACGGTACAGGGGATGGACCAGAGACCGCGGACACGGTACAGGGGATGGACCAGAGACCGCGGACACGGTACAGGGGATGGACCAGAGACCGCGGACACGGTACAGGGGATGGACCAGAGACCGCGGACACGGTACAGGGGATGGACCAGAGACCGCGGACACGGTACAGGACCAGATGGACCAGAGACCGCGGACACGGTACAGGGATGACCAGAGACTGAGGACACGGTACAGGAGATGACCAGAGACCGAGGACACGGTACAGGAGATGACCAGAGACTGCGGACACGGTACAGGAGATGACCAGAGACTGCGGACACGGTACAGGAGATGACCAGAGACTGCGGACACGGTACAGGAGATGACCAGAGACTGCGGAGTTGTATTCCCTCCCCGTCTTCTGGGACACATGACAGGTCCCAGAAGACTGCTGGACCATTCACAAAGCACAGCGTTTCTCGCACATGCGCAGTGGGCACCTGCCTGTAAATCTGCAAGCTGCCACAGCCAGGTGCCCACAGAAAAGATGCCGGCGCCAGGGAGAAAAAAAAACGGTGAGGACAGCGCTGGACCGAGGAACAGGTAGGACTGAGGAGCACAGAAGAGCAGAGCAGGCTTAAATTCCAAATGCACTCTCTGTTTGGGTAATCGGACAGCCACAGGTGCCAGCTGTCAAATTACGATCCCTGGAAGGGAATATTGGCTCATCCATACAGTATAGCGTGGATGGAGAAATCTGTTGGACACTTTCGTTCAGCCGGGCTGAAAAAAAAAAAAAAAAATTTAAAAAATCTATAAGTGCATGGCCAGCTTAAACTACATTTTCTAGCTGCGTGAGGAAGGGTTATTTGAAAGCTATTAACATAAACAGGAAGGAGAGATCCAATAATCTCACGGGAGGTTCAAACTCTTCCCCACACTAGAGAATGTTTTGGTTGGAGTTGGGCTTTAATTCTATCAGCAAACAAATGAAATCCTTGTGCTGCAAGGGTCTCTCCTTCTAAAGGATACATCCTTATTAGAAAATCCACCTATGTCACTGACGATAGCACCTCTCTGTGTCATGCTTACTGAGTGATTTTTAGCCAGTTCAAATCACCAAAAGTAGCGTCTGTGCAACAATCCCTCCTCCCAGTTCACATCTTTTAAATTTGGGAGCAGCATAATGACCGAATTATAGATGGTCTTATTATACGTTACTGTGGTGCCTTGATCTCTGCTATAGTTCCACAGCTGAGGATGAATGTTATCCCCAGACCTCAGGTTCACGGTGTGCATAAGATCAAAGGTGGTCATAAAATGTTCATGATTAGCTGAACCTTCCATAGTCCTAACCAACAGCACAGATTCTGTACAAAAAGTGAAGAACAATGGGAAAAACAAATATTCCAATTTTGCAACCATTAGCAGCTTCTTTAACATCAGTTGCGTCATATGAATTCCCAACAGCCTGCATGGGTACAGCGAGCAACTTTGCTGTTTCTGTAGCAGCTATTGGCTTCAAAGAGCTGTGTTGCTATATCAGTGCCCAAAGCCTCCTCCATTCTCTGCATGGGTCAGCCCTAACAGAGCAGCAAGATTAGATTAGAAACCTTGGTATTCCAGGTGTGGTGATACTACAACTCCCATCATGTTACTGCCCCTGGGAGTCAAAGCTGTGTCTGTCAGTCTTACAATGCCTCGTAGGACTTGCAGATCCACAGCAGCTTGAGTTCTGAGGTTGCCCACCCCTGGATTAGAGCCAGTGTCAGAGGCCAATTAACCCTTTGGGTGTTTTAGGAAAAAACAGCACATCTATGTACTGTTAGTCTCATTTATAAGAGAAAGCAGATAACTATATCAGCTATCCATAATTTAAGGCCCATTCAAAAACTGCTGGCCAGTGTGTAAGTAATGGAGCCCCATGACGTTCTCGCTTATCTCATTTTTTTTTGTAAACAACTTTTTTTTTCTCCATTTATCTTGTTCTCCACTGGCTTTGGGAACACTTCTGTAAAGCACATTGCTGTGCTTTATAAATGTTTTTTTTTCACTTTGTTTTTTTACAGCAGCAGTATGGCCATTTTTTGGCCATACTTCTGCTTTTTAAATGAGCCTGGATGCTGGAAATTCAAATAAGGACACCCAAGCGGTTACACTTGCGGTTGGGGGGGGGGGGGGGGGGCATGCGGCTAAGCCATGTTTACCGCCCCTAACCTAAACCATTCCCCTGAACTGTGTGGTATTTAGGGGGTTAAAACAGGTAGTTAGGAGGTGACATATCACCACCTTGCCCTCTGTCAAACACCTCTGAAAAGCAATCCGAGCTTGGATCGCATTTTAGAGGAGCAAATCCTTACCGCTAGTGTAAACAAGCCATGCTGAAACTATGTAGTTAGTGTTCCAAATGAGAACTCAGGACCCCAGTGCTGCAGGGAAAAAAATGATAATCAGCTACAATACTGTTGTATTACCACACAGTTGTACTTTGTAAAATGCAACAATCTGTATATACAGGTGGCTTTAGAAAAAGAAAGAGTTTAAAAAAAAAAAAAAAAAAAAAAAAAAAACAACCCCCCCCAAAAAAATGGTAAAAAAATGTTATCCCCACAGTGTAACATAATCAGTATTAGATCATGTATTAGCCTGGGGACAGTTTGTGGTTAGAGTAGATATGTTATGTAATACCGGCTATAAATAATAGCCAAGACTGTTACACTGTACATGACATTTCCTGTGTATGACAATAAAATAACCAGCACAGCTGATGAGTGTACAGATGATAAAAACATACCTTGTCTGTCAGGAGCTTGGCCAGGTTCTTCTGCTTCCTCCCCAGATACTGATCATATAGCTGGCTCAGCTTGTTGGCTAGGACATGCTCCCGACTGAAAAGGGGATGATGGGTAAACACAATTCCGGAAATATCTATGTCCAGCTGAAATTCTCCGAGTAGTCCCCCTGACCCCACCATGTATTGGCTGGATTTCTTAGATGGAATTGCCTGTGAAAAAGATACTCAAGTTGGGTTGAGATTAATGAAAACAGAGATAATCTAAAATGTATTTTTATCAGTTACATCATTTAAAGTGATTGTAAGGGTTGAAGGTTTGTTACCTTCATGCATTCTATGCATGAAGGTGAAAAACCTTCTGTGTGCTGCTCCCCCCACAGCCCCCCTAATACTCACCTGAGCCCCCTCTCGATCCAGCAATGTGCAAGTCTGTCCAGGGACTCCCTCACCTCATTGGCTGAGACAGCTGCAGAAGCCATTGGCCCCTACTGCTGTCAATCCCAGCCAGTGAGCCAATAAGGAGAGAGTGGGGCTGAGCCACGGCTCTATGTGTCTTATGGACTCAGAGCCTGGCTCAGGAGTGAGCACGCACCAGTGCCCCCATAGCAAGCAGCTGGGGCACTGGTCAAGGGGGAGGAGCCAGGAGTGCCCGCAGAGGACCAGAGAAAAAATCCATTTCTTGGAGTACATCACGGGACACAGAGCGGGCTATAATCATGCGCCACCTTTAGGTGCATAAAAACAGGCGGGCCAATGAGACAGGAAGTCCTTTCCTACATAACCCTTCCCATACTGGAAGTACTTCAAAATGTAGCAATCAGAATACAATGATCACTGTTAGCAGCTATAGTGGGCGGTAGTAATTGTACATATAAAGAAAATGCAGCGCTGTGTGATGTTACTATATTGCGGGCAGATATAAATAATAAATGAAACCAAAGCAAATGAATAAATCAATAAATAAATAAATAAATCACAGTCCAGTAATGGTGCTCGCTGATTCCCAGTGCAAAAGTTAGAAATGCGCACTAACCAGAAACGTATTAATAATACGCATGTGTATATGATATCATGGAGATTCCCCTCTCTTTTCTGGTCTGGTAATGGGCAGGAGCTGAAGATAGTAGAGATGAAGCGCCCTCGGGTGGCGAAATGGAGGTCCAGCAGGTCACAGAAATCCTTACAGAAGTGTGTGAAGTGGAAAATTCCTCCTCTCAAAGGCTGGTGCAGGGATCAATCTTCTGTAAGGATTTCTGTGACCTGCTGGACCTCCATTTCACCACACGAGGGCGCTTCATCTCTACTATCTTCAGCTCCTGCCCATTACCAGACCAGAAAAGAGAGGGGAATCTCCATGATATCATATACACATGCGTATTATTAATACGTTTCTGGTTAGTGCGCATTTCTAACTTTTGCACTGGGAATCAGCGAGCACCATTACTGGATTGTGATTTGTTTATTGATTTATTTATTCATTTGCTTTGGTTTCATTTATTATTTATATCTGCCCGCAATATAGTAACATCACACAGCGCTGCATTTTCTTTATATATATATTTTTGGGACTTATGTGTTTTCCTTGAATGTTCAGCTGCTGACCATTGGAGCGCTCACTGTATTTTTTATACTCTCATGCATTGGTAGTAATTGTACGGACAGGCTGGTTGTACTGACGTCAATCAATAGAGTGACTTCAGTACAACCAGCCTGCCCATAGATGGATTGAAATTCGGTTGGTTCCTGCTGAACCAGCTATCTTTCCATCCATCTATGGCTAGCTTAAGTCACAAGGTGAGAGACAGTGGCAGGAAACTGATTAGAGAGGGAAAATGAGCCAGATAAACTATCGTCAGTGCGCCACAAAATTGGCACACAGGAGCCAGATTTTTTTAATGCACCCAATAAGGTTTGGAAATTAACAATGTGACTAGTGCATCAATTGTTAGAAAAAAAAAAATCCAAGTGCAAATTTTCACACAGACTCACAATCTGAAATTCTATTATGAAGTTCAAACTAGCCAATTAGAATTCAGGTTTAAGCAGTTTATCATTATTTAAACTGATATGCAACTGGCCACTATATAATGATGGTAAATCCTTGTACCACACATACCTTAATATATATGGTCTCCAGTGCGGAGTCTAAGCCTTCATGTAGTGTAAATATAGGTGGTCTTGTTGTTGACGTTTTTATAGGATTAGGCAAGGCTAAAATGTTCCCATCATCACCAAACCATTTCTTTCCCTGTGTACAAATATACAACACAAATACAATGAACAGTAACAAAACGACAGTTGCTGGAAAGCAGTCATTCCCAGGTAGTTCCTAACATTCAGAATACACAGATGCTATTATTACAGTCAGCCAACAGCAAAACAAATACAAGTATTGATGGAGAGTACAATAGCTAAAATCAAAGATGAATATTTAGTTTTTCATTTAAAGGGATAGTAAATCTGAAAATGTGTTTTACATTAATGCATTCCTTGCATTAAGATAAAAAATATTTTCTATTTTTCAGTCCTCCCCCTTCCCTGTGTGAAGGGGAAGAGAGGGGAGAATAGATCCAGCGCTGTGCACGGCTGCATCTCTTTTCCCCTCTTCCTCTTCACACAGGAACCTGAGCAGCAGCAGGAGCTATTGGATTCTGCTGCTGTCAATCAAATGCAGTGAGGAAAAAATGGGGGTCTGGGCTAAATCCTGCTTTGTGTGTCTATGGAGCGTAGCTGCATAGACACAGCTCGGGAGCGAAGCTGCTTGCATTGGGGACACACGAAGAAGAGGAGGAGCCGAGATCGCTGTTAGGGAACCTGTGAAGAGGAGGATCGAGGCTGCTCTGTGCAATACCACTGCATGGAGCAGGTGAGTATAAAACATGTTTTTTGTTATTTTAATTAAAAAAAAAAATAGACTTGAGTAGTAACACACTTTAATCAGACATTTGAACTGCAACAGGTAACAATGATAGAGATTAACAAAAAGTGGTGCTTACTATGTACAGTCTGGAACTGTACGATTTACAAATTTACAGAAGGCATTGGAGGTGTTACTGTATTATGTGCAGCAGGTGTAGCATAGCAATTGCATAAAAAAAAACAGAACACCGTACAACTATGAAGAGTTATGGTGTAAAAACAGTAAGAACAATAGAGGGCTGGATAGGAGTTAGATTAGAGAATAAGTGGCAGTTGCAGCAGATGTGCTCTAACAACACAGGGACAGAGATATAATAAATATGCTACCAATGTAACAGGTATCAGAGACGTGCATGGAAACACCCTGCTCCGACACTAGGGATGGTAGAGCAGTACCGTAAGGAAAGAAGCAAGAGGCGGCAAAAAAGATAGAAGCAAAAGGGAATAAAAAAGGAAAAAAAAAAAAATTACAGTCATAGAGAGGGGCAAGAACCGTAAATAAAAGGGTTAAACATTAGGCAGAGAAACAAAGGCGGCAGTGCACTTTTCAAGCTAATAGTTTGGCTAACAGAAATGAGAGATATAATGTAATGAGTAAAGACCCAACCTTAAGGCCTCATGCACACAGGCACATTATAGGTGTGGACAATGTAACCTGCATACAGCCATTTATTATTATTATTATACAGTGTTTATATAGCGCCAACATGTTTGCTCAGCGCTGTACAATATAGTGGGGGACAGTACATGAGACAATACAGTAACAAAACAATATACAAGAGGTTCGAGGGCCCTGCTCATTTATGTCTTTAGGCAGCTGTATACAACACCTGGCCTTCCCGGGCACAGAAAAGAAAGCCAGAATTTTACATTGTTCATCCACAATGTGCTCCTGTCCACGAGGCCTAAGAAAATTTTCATGAATAATCACCAAGATACTAGAAAGCTTCTCATTAATCATAAAGCCATAAAGATGGGTCTTGACCTCATGTAAGAAGACAGATTGCATTTCCAGGCCAATGCTATAGTTTGCTTTGTTGCTAAAAAGGATGAGCATCTCTTATTTCCACTGGTGTTTAACCACTTGAAGACCAGCTAACGTGCATGTATGTAAGCAGTTTAAAGTGGTATACTGAGATGCTGCCTGCAGCTACTGGCATCATCCCAATATTGTTTTTTTCCTCTCTTTTTGTTAAAAGCAATCCTAGCAGCCAATTAGCCGCTGGATTGCTTTTACAGGTGGCACCAATCCCAGAACTCGCCCGTAAAGAGTACCTGACAGCAATAAAAGTGATTTAAAAAATTTAAAAGAGACAGTGTATAAATAAAAAATAAATAATACAATTTAAACCATTTAAAAATTGTCTCCTGGGCTCACGCAAGCGCACCACACAAGTGAGGTATTGCTGTGAACGTGAAAAGCAAAAGCAATACTTTTAGCACCAGACATCCTTTGTAACTCTAAACTGGTAACCTATAAAGGATCTTAAAGAGTCGCCTATGGAGATTTTTTTTAATACTGCAGTTTAGCACCATCCCATGAGTGTGCACAATTTTAAAGCGTGACATGCAGGGTATCCATTTACTCGGTATAACATCAACTTTTATACTTGAGCACAAACTTGGTTCATTAAAATTGTAGTGTATTTTTTCCCCAATAAATGAAGTTGAAAAACCGCTGCGCAAATACTGTGTGGCATAAAAAATTGGAAACCCACCATTTTATTCTCACAAGTTTCTGCTTTAAAAAAAAAAAAAATATATATATATATATATATATATATATATATATATATATATATATATATATATATATTGGGGGTCCTAAGTAAATTTTCTAGCACAAAAATAGCAGATTTTCACAAGTAAAAAACAGTGTCAGAAAAGGCCTGGTCTTCAAGTGGTTAAAAAAAGCCTTCAATTGGGTAATGCTACAATTGTATATTTTTAGGAAACCCAATAATACTGCTTAACCACTTCCTGTGAAGCGGGAACAGTGAAGCACACACACAGCACATAATGTGAAACTGCACACAGTTACCCTTTGATCGCCCCAGATGTTAACCCTTCCTGCCCAGTGCCATTAGTCCAGTGTCAAGGCTTTTTATTAGCACTGTATTGGTGTCACTGGGGACGTCAGTGACACCAGGTCAGTCCCCCCCCCCCCCCCCCCCATGTCAGAATGCCCGCCGCAGTCCCGCTATAAGTCGCTGATCGCCGCCATTACTAGTATTAAAAAAAAAAAAAAAAAAAAAAAAACAACACACACAAAAAAATATTCCAGTATATATACCGCCATTTGCAAATGCTATAACTTTCAAGGAAACCAATTCATTTATACGCATTGGGATTTTTTTTTTTTTTTTTTTTTATAGCAAAGACATGTAGCAGAATACATTTTGGCCAAAATTTGATTTTTATATTTTTTCCTGGACATGATTAATAGCAAAAAGTCAAAAATACAGTTTTTTTCTTAAAATTGGCGATCAAATACCACCAAAAGAAAGCTCTATTCGTGGAAAAAAAAGAACATAAGATTTCATTTGGGTGCAGCGTTGTCAGTTAAATTAACGCGGTGCCCTATCGCAAAAAATGGCCATGTCAGGAAGGGGGGGGGGGGGGGGGTAAATCCTCTGGAGGTCAAGTGGTTAAACATGACAATGTATTTTCTTTGTGGTTCAAAAACCTAAGGGCTCATGCAAATGAGAGTAAATACAGGTGTGGACATACAGCAAAAAATGTGCGTCTACAACTGGGGGCTCCAGGTTGTGAGTCTACACCTGGTGCACAATTCTGCCTATGAGACTGTATTGGCGGAATATGCTGTACAATGGTATATGCCTGTAATGTGCGTTTACAGGCACACACTTATTGGTGCAAGTTCATAAAAATTACACCTATATGTGCAGATCCGTAAATGCAAGTGCTGAATATTCTATCAGTACAGTCCTATGGGCAGAACTGTATATGGGCTGGTGCTCCCTGGTGCTGCAAACACATACACTATATTGCCAGAAGTATTGGGACACCCCCCCAGTTCATTGGACTGAGGTGTTCCAATCACCTCCATGGCTACAGGTGAACAAAATCAAGCACCTAGGCATGCAGACTGCTTCTACAAACATTTGTGAAAGAATGGGTCGCTGTTAGGAGCTCAGTGAATTAAAGCGTGGTACCGTGATAGGTTGCCACCTGTGCAATAAGTCCATTCATGAAATTTCCTTGTTACTAAATATTTCACAGTCAACTGTAGTGGTATTATAACAAAGTGGAAGCAACTGAGAACAACAGCAACTCTACCACAAAATGACAAAGCAGGGTCAGCACATGCTGAAGGGCACCGTGCGCAGAAGTCGCCAACTGTCTGCAGAGCCTATAGCTAAAGACCGTCAAACTTCGTGTGGCCTTCAGATTAGCACAACGGTGCGTAGAGAGCTTCATGGAATGGGTTTCCATGGCCGAGCAGCTGCATCCAAATCTACATTACCAAGTGCTATGCAAAGCTTCGGATGCAGCGGTGTAAAGCATGCTGCCACTGGACTCTAGAGCAGTGGAGACGTATTCTCTAGAATGAGGAATCACACTTCTCTGTCTGGCAATCCGATGGGCATGTCTGGGTTTGGCGGTTTCTATGAGAACGGTACTTGCCTGACTGCATTGTGCCAAGTGTAAAGTTTGGTGGAGGGGGGACTATGGTGTGAGGTTGTTTTTCAGGGGTTGGGCTTGGCCCCTTAGTTCCAGTGAAGGGAACTCTTAAGGCGTCAGCATACCAAGACATTTTGGAAAATTTCATGCTCCCAACTTTGTGGGAAGAGTTTGAGGATGGCCTCTTCCTGTTCCAACATGACTGCACACCAGAACACAAAGCAATGACCATAAAGACATGGATGAGTGAGTTTGGGGTGGAGGAACTTGACTGGCCTGCTTGAATCCTAACCTCAACCCAATAGAACACCTTGGGATGAGAAGAATTAGAGTGGAGACTGCGGGCCAGGCCTTCTTGTCTGACATCGGTGCCTGATCTCACAAATGCGCTTCTGGAAGAATGGTCAAACCTTCCCATAGACACACTCCTAAACTTTGTGAACAGCCTTCCCAGAAGAGTTGAAGCTGTTATAGCTGCAAAAGGTGGGCCAACTCAATATTAGACCCTACGGACTAAGACTGGGATGCCATTAAAGTTCATGTGTGTGTAATGGCAGGCGTCCCAATACTTTTGGCAATATAGTGTATATTATGCTGTATGCCCTGTATTTATATCCACGTGTATGAGCCTTAAAACTTTTATTTTCTCTGGACAGGGTGATGAAAGGTTAAAATCTTGGCAAATTTTTATTGCTGTCCCAAATTTGATTGATTTTCTCTCACTTCCTGTCCTAGCGGTAGGGGTTAGAGAGGCAGGAATTGATGGGAAATTTCTCTGATGGGGAATCTAACCACTGGGCACAGAAACAGCTCAAAAACATAATTTTCAATAAAGTGATAAAAAGTTAAAACTTCTGTAAGGTTTACATTGTTTTCTGCATCTTCTGGTCATGCTGACTCAGGTTTCCCTCATTTCTTCTCCTGCTGACAGTGATAAGGTATGGATATCTCAGTGGAATCAGACAGCAATAAATACCTGACGGGAGTTCTACTTCGTCCCTTCTCCAAAATGTAACATAATGAATACATTGGCTAGATTTGGCCTTTTCCCAGGAAAAATGCTAAGTTTAGGAATAAACATATTAACTGAAGAACAATACACTAGATGTGGCTTTTCATTGCTAGTAGCAGTTTTTAATGATGTTTTAAAAAGTCCTGAAAGATATTAAGTATTGTGCTGACAACAACATCTGTCTTCTGTGTGTTCCAGACAAACTACACATTTAAGGATCAATTATCTGACAGATTCAGGATCCATGCACATTAGGCAGCAGTAAAATACCAGAACTGCTGAAAGAAAAAAAAAAAAGCAGCATAAAAAAGGCTCCTATGGAACGTACACTCATTTAGGTCCGTTTACTTTTATAAGAGTTTGACCCCAAAGCACAAGAAAAAAAAAAAAAAAAAAACTACACCTCAGCAAAAATGCTTGCCTCCCGTAAACACCTTGTTTAGACACGTCAAGCATTTTTTCCTGCTGAAAGCTCCTCTCAAAAACACACTTGTGATTTTTTTTTTCCAGCCCGTAAAAGCTCCTCTGCAAATAAATCCGTAAATACCCAAAATGTACACATAGGTTAACACAGTGTTGCTTCTACAGGCTGAAAGAACACATGCCAAACGCCCTATGTATTATGTATTGATGCCCAGTATGCATTAGGCCTCGAGGATTGTACATGTGAGAGTCTGGTGACATTTCAAGTTGATCACACTGGCCTAACTTTAAAGCCCCTTTTGTGTTGGCATGTTGCAGTAATGTGTGCAATAATTAACTACAATGCATGTTCAGTCTTTGGTGTATTGCACTGACTATAGAATGTATTATTACAGTAGACTACAATACAGCACAATGTACACACACCTTGTTTCATGGTGCACTGCATAACAAAAGGGTCATGTCTGACTATTACTGTTATCATGAATTGGCAGCCCATTTATAATAAATTAGCTGTTTTAGCACAAAAACACAGATCCAACTTCCAATAATATGTATGCATGCATTAACTCAACGCAATAGCCCAAAGAAATGTTATTTGGGTCTAAAACATTTTTGTTAGGCATAGAGAGATCTCAAAGAGGTGCAACCATCTGAAACAACATAGTCTGTCTCCATAAAAGAACCCAGGACTAAGCACATCATTGTGCACATGTCCAAGCTCTTCAGCTTTGCCCATAATCAGCCCCTGGATAAAATTATAAATTCTGTACACAAACAAACACAGTCCACAGTTAAAGAAAATAATGATAAAGAAATAATGCACTCTGTCTTTTTATTTCTGTGCACAGGCCCATACAAAAAAGTCTGATGTTGCCAGTATCAGGAGATTTGACATTAAATATGTATGGGCAGATCAAACTAAATGGCATGAGTCTGAGGGAAGAGTGCTTTTAATATGTAAGTGCACAAGACCGTTCCAATAGGAATATCAATTTTGTCAATGTATTGTAGTGGCATAATATTACTTATTGTAACAATACAAAAAAAAAAAGGACTATAATTGAGACTGTGTTGCAGACACTGATAGACATTGTGAGAGACCGTGAAAGAAAAAAACTTGGCTGAATACTTACTCTGTAGGCCAGCCTTTCTCAGGTAGGGTTCCTGCAGAGGTTACTAGGAGTTCCTTGATCAACGAGCAATTTGTACCTCTCAGACCTTGAGAAGGTCGACTGGGACGCAACATGTCAGGTGGGCAGTGACCTCATCACACTGCACGAAACTTAAATGCCATTTTGGAAAGTAGAGTATGCTAATAACCCGTGACTTGCCTCTATGAAGTTTCTAACATGGAAGTAGAATTTTAACTTTCTTATGGAAATAAACTAGCGTTCTGCACTATTGGATGTTTATTAGAACATTTAGAATCAACTCCAGACCTTTTACCTGCTTAACCGATAAAGAAATAATGGAGTAGCCCACACGTGGCCATGAAACAGCTTTTGATTCAATTGTCCAATTACTTTTGGTCCCTTGAAAAAGGGGGGATGGCTACTCTTAAGAGCTGTAATTCCTAAACCCTTCCTCCAATTTGGATGTACATACCCTCAAATTAAACCTGAGAGAGTGTGCCCTTTCATCCCATATCCATTATATAACTATAGTTTGAATATATTTTAATAAATACATGAAAAAAAACTAAAAAAATTGTACCTGTGTCCAAATATATATGGACCTAACTGTATATGAACCCGGTCTTATTGAATCTCCACCAGTGTGTGCTGAGACCAGAGCTAATTTCAGAAATGGTTTACAGGAGACAATTAACAGAAGGGGTGTATAATAAAGTCTGTAACCACCATATTAAAAGCAGTTAAACTGGAGTGGTAGACTTACTGAACAGATGTTAAAAGAGAACAGTAAGTGAACCATATTAAAAGAGAACAGTAAGTGAACCACAGAATTATGAACAAATCGTCCTATTGAATGATCTTACCGCATCTTGCTGCAGTATCCTGTTCTCCAGAATGTTCTTATTAGCCTGGGAGACTTCGGGCCTTACACCAACATACAGACCCTCATCTTCTAAGTACCTGGGCTGCATATTGTCGGGAAGCTTCTGGGAAAGCGGCACTGGTGTTAAATAATAAAACCAAACAAAGTGAGAAAAAAAGGACCTGTTACTGAAAAACAGCAAAACGTGAAGAGTAAACTGGACCAACAGGAGCCTCCTGAACATCCCCACTTTAACTGGCTTTTCTCACTTCTGACTCTATTTTAGCATTTTTCTGGCTACTAAATTTCTTACCATTGAAGAAGTCCAAGTTTTTGTATTGATACAGCCATGTCAAGTGTTCTGGTATCGGTAAGTAGGCAATACCTGTATAGCTAGTATATGGTATATGAATTCTTTTTTATTTCACATGCCTTTATTAACCATTTCCTGCCAGCTGTAAGCATTTACTGTAAGTGACCTCTCGTCGGGTGGGCTTTAATGCCAAGCAGCCACATATATGCGTCCCTATGCAAAACACTTGACTGCACTGAGCAGTCAAGCGAGCGAGTACCGGAAAGCTCCCGATGCATACTTTGGGAGCTTTCTGATCATGGGATTGCTGTGACTGCCAATCACAGCGGTCACATGATCGGAATGCCTGTCTCCTGACATTTAGAACCTTTTAGGAAAAAATTATCAGTGCACATATATTTGCAGAAAACACAGCAGATCATCGGTGCAATGACCAGCCAAGAAGAGGCAGACATAGAAGGGAAACCAGCAGCCTCCCATTGCTTTCAACAGGGCTGCCTCTTGCATTGTTGTCAACGTTTCGACAACTACCATGTCCACATCTTGAGAAGAATGTAGTGAATTTAGTGCAGAATTAACAGTGTTGTCACTGAAAGTAAGGAACTTCACTGGCCACCTGCCCAGCAAATCCAGCGTTGTCCTGCTGTATTGCACTGCTCTGTTCTCACAGTCCAGATCCCACACTGCCATTTTCTCTTCCCAAGCCATCATGAGCATGCTGTGTCTTCTAGATTCTTGCAAGGAGCCCCCGATGACATGTTGCAAGGTGCAGCCTCCTGGGATCTGTGATGGGGATATCTCAGGAGGCTGCAAGAGCAGGACACGTCACTCTCACCTAGGTTAGAATAGAGGCAAAAGGGGGGGTAGGCTGGAGAGTAAAAAAAAAAAAAAAAATTATAAAAAATTATGTGAAGTCCACTTAAAAAAAAAAAAAAAAAAAAAAAATCAAGGATACACTGGCAAAATCAAAACCTTATAAAATTCTAATAAAAGGGGGACTATACTTCATGTTTTATTACTACTGACAGACAGCATCATATATAATTTAATTACATAGACCATGCTAGGGACAACAGAATAATCATCAAGTTCAGTTCCATAATAAAATGTCACTTGACTGCATTTTAATCTCTCTTTCTTCCAAAATTAAACTGTGAATGCAATTAACATCCTGTTGAGTTGTAAGCAATGTTACAGCTACCAGAAATTTTTTTATATGAAAGGACGATTCTTGTAGATGCAGTCTGCCAATCTATGGCCAACCTGAGCTCAGAACACTACGGGAATATGTCCTTCCCACCACTTGCTTTTTTTTGGCTGTCTTTCAATATCTGCTCTCATCATAAATCATATGGCTTATTTTAAGATGCATATGGAACTAGTCCAGATATCCGTGTGGCTGATTAATAGACAGGACTTGGATAGTTGGATCATCTCAATCATGGCTAGGACAGACTGAAAATATTTATCTAGCAGGTTATATATCAAACAGACAGCAGATTCCCACTAGTCCGAGGGAACAGATAAGAATTTCTCATAGGAAAAGAATGCCATTTATAAAAAAGGATATTAGCTATTTCATCTGTTCACAAACAATTGTCCACCAATCTTTACTAGTACGCAGACTGACTGACACAAAAATGGAATCAGAACTGTTTCTACAATGTCAATATGACTCTGTAGATGGCTACCTTCACCTGTAAATCCAAAATCTATATTTCAGTATGGTTTTGCATCATGCCTGACTGTATACAGTTTTCTTAACCCCTTTTGTAACAGCAATATGCCCATATGCAATGACAAGGTGATGGGCCTTAATTCTCAGCCAACGCATATAGTGTACGCATCACTATATTGTTTGGGGGGGTGCTACATCAGCTCCCATAAAACTATGACCGAGCCGTTAGCAATAGTCAGAAGCCAGTAAAATAGGCTGAAGATGACATCTTCACCGCACAGCCAATCACAGCGCTGCATGATCGGGAACCGCTACCAGATTTGGATGCCATGGCCCACTTACGCGGCCAGTTCCAAGCACTGACAACACATTAAGTCTAGGTTCACACCTGTGGATTTTTCTGTTGTATTTTGCAGAAATGCACAGCAGTCCATTTAACATGATTTCCTATGGGACAGGTTCACATCTCCACGGTTTCACCTGGTGCGTTTTTTGGAAAGGGTTAGGGACTTTAAAACACAAAACATTGTGTTTTTGGTTATATAGACTTCAATGGAGATGCTGCAGAAAAGAATGTAGTGTGTTTTTTTGGTGGGTTTTAATCCACCCAGAAATAAGTTGGAAATAAAAAAAAAAAAAAAAAAAAAAAAAAACACACACACCAAAAACCGCTAAACGCATTAAAAACGCAGCAAAAACACAAAAAGTACTGCAGAAACTGATCAAATGCAAGCTGCATAAGTGTGAACCTGGCCTAAGCAAACTGTTTTGTGTGAATCTGCTGCAAAGTTTCTGATATGGACATCCTGCCAGTAACAGAACTTCCTGTTGTAGACTGACATTGCTAAGCCACTACCTTGCCATTACTGGCACCATTATCAGCCTGCCATGTGCACTTCTTCAGTTTACTATCGAGCTTCTTATCTGATATTCAGCTCAACAGCGGACTTCTGGTAAGGTCTTGAAATTTTTTTGGCTGGTCAGTAGCAGACAGGACAGCCAACCTGGAGCCTGACGGCTCTGTAAGTAGACTTTGCCATCGGCCAAATTTGAGTAAAGCAGATGTTTGGCACCCTCTGCAAAACGCTTTATGTGCAGCACAAAACACAGTATCAGATTTTTGAACAGGAGTTACAGTGGCCCTCATGGCTCAGCATTTAAAGTTTGCCTCAGAGTCAATGTCATCCCAACATAGCCTGATGTACGAAGGTGTGACAATTACCTTGTCGCAGGCTGGGTATAAACAGGAGGTCTTTTTCTTTCTGTAGCCGGTTGTGATAACCTTCATATTCAGCTGCAGTAATCTCTATGAAGTCACGCGCTGTCTGCTCTATGAGAAACAGATCATCCTCTGGAACCAAGGACTTGTCTTCTCCCTGGAACAATGTCACTTTCTCAGTACAATATCAGCACATAATTAAAGGACTTTGATGAGAATAGGAATCGCAGCTGCAATATAATTATTAATGTAATAAAATCATGCGGTCATCCCTGTGTGCATTAGTAGCAATGAATACAATTGTATGAATGAGCAGTTAGAATTAAATGACCTTCTTACAGTCTTGTGACTTTCACTCACTGCTTCATTCTACAGGTTATTATTTATCATTTTTGCTTAGCAGTCTGGCTTTCACATTTGGATTTGTCAGATTTTTACTGTTGTCTGTATCCCCATTGGGGAAATTTTCCATCACTTCCTGTTCCTGAAACAGAAAATCAAAAAGGAAATGAGCTATTGAAAACCTGTTGGATCTCTGAGTTTTTTTTGCTGTATCTTTCTGTTCCAGGAGCTCCCGTCAGTCATTTCTTGTCCTGGTATCAAAGACAATAGAAACTAGACTAAGACCGTTTAAGTTCTTCCCCACACTGCATAAAAATGTAACTAAACCTGGTGATGGAAATGAGAAAAAAAGTATCCTGACCAGCTACAATAAGAAATCACTTCATATTTGGCTTCAGCAAAAGTCTATGCCAACCACTCAAGAAAAGGGACAGGTCTGAAAATCTTGCCCAGTTGCATAGATCATGTCATGAGGGTCTGGCTGTTCTTTCCTGCTACTCTTTCCATTTATCTTACAGGAGAAGTATGGGTTTGTAAATCAAACATCCATACTCACCTCTATGCTGCAGCACTGGTGTGATGTAGCAGCTGTCCCACATCAGCTCTAAGACAAACAGTGGACACGTGACTGCTGATCACTCAGTTCTCGGACCGCTTGGAATGGAAAACTGACTGTCGGTCACCAGCTCTCTGTCCTGATCCTCCAGCGCTCACTGGAGCACCAGGCAGGGGAGTGGGTGGAAGTAGCTGGCTCCACTCCCAGCCACCCTCTGAGCGGGGGAGACAGCTGATAATCAGGCAGCTAGATGGATCCTGACAATATTGTCAGGATCCTTCCAGAGTCTGGAGCAGCTCTGCAGTTTCAGCTGACAGTGGGCAATACCTTCCTATCCGCTGACTCTGGGTCACATGAGAGCAAGAGATAGTGCACTCCTGTGACTCAAGATAAGTATGGCCAAAAAATCTTTGACCATACTTCCCTTTGAACATGATTGCTTCATTGAGCTGAGCATAAATATTACAAGCCCTCTTGCCAACAAATATTCCTCTGCACAGCCAGATTGTGCTAATTAAGCAGCACATTCATTACTGCTTGCAGTCTTTGATGGCTACCAACCCATTTGAGCAAACCTGTTCTGCAAAGTTATATTTGAGTATTTAACAAAGAAGTCAAACTTACAAAATGATAGTAGAACTGGTAAGTATTTAATACAAATGAATGCAATTGAGCAATGATAAATGATGAAAAAAGCATTATACTAACAACTTTGTATTTTTAGAGTCTTGCCTGCACCTGCCTTTAGCAGTTGTCACCAAAAGAGGAATAGAGGGGAAGTCGTCCTATGAGGACTGGTAACCATGGTGACAACCAGGGATTCTCTCATTTTGGGGGGGGATTACCTCTCCCATCCTGTTGTAGCTTTGGAATAGTTAGTGAAGGGAAATCTCCTTAATGGGACACAGACTGAAAAAAAATAAATACCTGACAGTATAACCTTTACTTTTTACAATGAAGTCAAAGTAGAACTAAAGACAAAACTTTTTTTGGATAGAGTAATACTGATTTTGGATCACAAGACTGGCTCTACAGTTACAAACCTTTTGGTAGACAAGAACACAAAGTAGCAAGATGATGCCATTGATCGTACATAATCAAAGAGCACTGTAATCATGCAGGATTAAGCTGGCAATCTGCCATTATGTAGTTAACCCAATGGGTTTTTTTTTTTTTCAGATGTAATTAAAGGTGACAATCTTGGACTTAGTGACAGACTGGCAAGCTTAAAGCCGACTTTAATAATCCTTCAAGAAGAATTTTATTAGAAGCAAAAAGGAGTTCTGAAGTGCTTGGCCCTGTACATGGCAGTTACAGATCTAGGGGCTGATGAATCCTGTTTACCTACTCCTCCTTTTTTTAAAGTTAATTCATACTACAGAATAAAATATACTGTATCTACCAGTAGAGAAAATGATTTTCATCACCTTCTGCACATCCTCTCTTTTTCTATACAGCCAGTCCTAAACTCTGACAGTTCCCCCATGCAGTATGTTTGAAGTCTGAGCTCTCTCTGTAAGGATTACAATTATCTACAGGCCAGACTACTTTTTAAAAAGGCATACATTCATTGTATTGAAAGTGGTACAACAGTATTTATTTTATTTCAGGTACTTCTATAGCGCTGTCACTTTATGCAGCGCTTTACATCTATATTGCACATTCACATCAGTCCCTAACCCTCAAGGAGTGTACAATCCAAGGTGCCTAACTCACATTCATACATACACATACTAGGGCCAGATTAGACAGGAGTGTCGGAGGAAACCGGAGTTCCCGAGGAGACCCACGCAGTCACAGGGAGAACATGCAAACTCCAGGCAGCTGGTGCCATGGTTGGGATTCAAACTAGCGACCCTAGTACTGCCAGGCGGAAGTGCTAACCATTTAGCCATTGTGCTGCCAATGTACAGAAACATGCAGCTTTTTTTAAGTACATTGATGCACATATAAAACAATATTATTATTTACAGTATTTATATAGCGCTAATAGTTCGCCCAGCGCTGTACATTATAATGGGAAACAATATGAAAATTATTGAAGTGTTTCAGTATAGCAAGATAGTCTTCCAAAGACTAGTATGAGTGCAGGCACAATGTTGTACAAGATAATATTATTTAGTAGAAAATACAAGGTGTAATCCATCTTTGTTTACTCTGGATGGTATACAGTAGAATATAACTGTGTATGGGCATGGTTTACATTTTGCAACAAAACTTGCTGTTACCTCGTCTCCAAAACCCCGAGGATGCCCAGCATTCCTTCCAAATTCTGAAACTCTTTTTCATATTAGAGGACTTTGTAAAAAGATGCCATACCATTCCTTCCTCTCCTTCCTCTGCCTCCTCTTCTTCCACTTTAGAACTAGACTCTCCCACATCATCCTTTGGAGCCTCCACCTTCTTCTTCTGGTCCTTTTCTTCATCTGTTTCTGGATCGGGATCAAAATTAAAACGTGAAGAAATTGTACGATTCATCTGCAGTGGAGCTCCATCGGGGACCTGAAGAAGACCAAACCAATTTGCTTTACATAACCTTCATAATGCTTGGTTTGCTGGAAATGTAGCATCTTCTTTGACCACTTATGACCTGTGGGGGCCATACATAAAGCTCTGTGCTAACATTTTGTAAACTGAACACATAGGCTCCCCTTACAAGGAAAATTGAACCTCAGCCAATGCAGGGGAGCCTCAGTAGCCAATAAGAAAGCATACATGTCCATTGTTGAGGTGTGGTTTAGCAGTTTGAGGAGGAGGGGGTTCATGGGTTCTGCCATCACTAGTCACAATTTGCATATTAGTATGTTCCGGGTTCTGGGAATTCCAGGGTACTCTGGTAGTAATCTGTGCTCGCCTGCTTTAAGAAACTGGGGATGCTTTGCCAGGTAAGGACAGCCCACATGTTTGCTTTAATACCTAGACTAGGACTATAGAACAACCTTAAGCACTGCAAAGAAAGCACATAATGATGTCTGGGGTTTGCTTTTGCTGCTCTGTTCTGCAGCTCAGAAACCCTAAATCCCAAGATGATGTAATCTGCAAAATTTAGCACCAACTAACTGGCAGTTTTTATCACTGCTCCCACAACCTCCTGCAATTTCCTACTGACCCATGAGAAAGCCGGACGAATGAACAACAATCACTTATGGGGCTGACAAATATACTTTAAAGCTGAAGTTTAAGTATGGCAATTTTTACATAGCTGTATACCTGTGGGATCCCAATGAAAGCTGGAAATTCCTGTAGCAAGCATCGCTACTACAGTGGTCTCCACTAGTTTCCAGACCCCATGCCAATCAGATGGCCTACACCATTGTGAACATAGAGGGTCACTTATTTGGCATAGGCTGACTAAATGAAGTAGAGATAGGGGGCAGTGACATCATGACCTTCACCTCATCTGATCAGAGAATGTGTTGCATTCATTGAGAAAATGTGTTCTCTAAAAAGGTGCCTGTGCTGAGCATGTGGCCTTGAGTGTGCTCAGGAAGCAGCAGGGCAGCCACTTGGCATGGAACCTGGAAGCCAGAGGAAAACGCTGTACTAAAATTAAAAAAAAAAAAAAAAAAAAAAATATTATATATGTGTCCGGACTTGAAGTGGTTAAGGATAGTGATCATATGAAGCCATTTATTATCACTTGCTGTCGTTTGGCTACTTTTTAAAATCATAATGATACCGGGAATCACCCAAATGGTTCTGATCAAAAGCTTACAATGTTTGGCCTTGGTACAGACACACACAGGTTAAAATAACAATTAAAAAAAAGGTTAATTTCCAACATCTGTGGCTTTTTAAAATTGCAATTATTTTCTGTGTATAAATAGTCAATGAGTTTGCTAGGTCACACATGGATGCATTGAGCAGGCTAGATACTGAGCCAGGGGGAGCAGATGAGAACTGTCAAAAGACCTGCATATCAAGGTAATGGAACTTTCTACAGATGAAAAAGGATATCAAAAGATAACCAAAGCCTTGAATATACCAGTTAGTACTGTTCAATCACCATTTAAGAAGTGGAAAATTCATGGATCTCTTGATACCAAGCCAATCTAGATCAAGAAGGATTTCAGCCACAACTGCCAGAAGAATTGTTCAGGATAAAAAAAAAAAAACCCACAGATAACCTCAGGAGAAATACAGCCTGCTGTGGAAAAAGATGGTGCGGTTGCTTCAAGGAGCACTATACAACGATACTTGAACAAAAATGAGCTGCATGGTTGAGTTGCCAGAAAGAAGCCTTTACTGCGCTAATGCCACAAAAAAGCCCAGTTACAATATGCCTGACAACACCTTGACATGCCTCACAGCTTCTGGTGCACTGTAAGCTGGAGTGACGAGACCAATATAGAGTTTTATGGTCACAACCATAGGTGCTATGTTTGGAGAGGGATCAACAAGTCCAAGAATACATCCCCACTGTGAAGCATGGTGGTGGCTCACTGATGTTTTGGAGGGGGTGTAAGCTCTAAAAATCTTGTGAAAATTGATGGCAAGAGGAGTGCAGCATGTTATCAGACAATTTGCATTTTTCTGCGTGAAAGCTGTGCATGGGGCGCTATTGGACTTTCCAGCACGACAATGACCCTAAGCACAAGGCCAAGTTGACCCTCCAGTGGCTGCAGCAGAAAAAGATGAAGGTTCTGGAGTGGCCATCAGTCTCCTGACCTTAATATCATCAAACCACTCTGGGGAGATCTCAAAGTGTGCGAAACATGCAAGACGACCAAAGACTTTGCATGAACTGGAGGTATCTTGCCAAGACAAATGGGCAGCTATACCACCTGCAAGAATTCGGGACCTCATAGACAGTTACAAAAAAGACTCCACACTGTCATTGATGGTAATACAAAGTATTAAGAACTAAGGGTATAGAGACTTCTGAACAGGGGTCATTTCATTTGTTTACTTGTTGCCATGTTCTGTTTTATGATTGTGCCATTCTGTTATGACCTACAATTAAATATGAATCCCATAAGAAATAAAATAAATGTGTTTTGCCTGCTTGTTCACGTTACTGTATATGTTCGCCAAGGGTTTGCAAACTTTTGAGCACAACTGTATAAAAAACCTCTATTGATTGTATGCATCTACTTCTACACCTACAGAGCAGTCTGTCTCATGATATTATGTGATAAGTCCACACCAAGACAACTAGGCATGATTCAATTGATTTTCGTTTTTTTAGTGGTACTTTGTACTTTCATAGAGTTGTTACACTTTGAAGAACATTTCTTTGCGCACGTAGACAAAACATTTGGCATGAAAACAGCAAGCTTTATTTAAAGTGGAACATGTATGAAAAACACAAAATGGAAGAGATGGTCTTACATGAGATTTCTGAACTGTCCTGATGGAATCACGGAACCTTACTCTGGATTGCAGCTGTGCTTCAACATCCTTTGCCTTCTGAAGAGCACTGACCTCTGGCTACAGAACACGAGGTGGGAAAACAGGCCAGAATGTAAATATGCAAATACTGAAATATTAATTTCTATAGCTCTGACATACTCCTTGGTGCTTTATGCAAATTCCTCACATTAGTTCCTGCTCCTTTGGAATTTACAGTCCAAGGCCCCATTCACAATTGAAAATAGGGCTATGAGCGATTACATGTGGAAACCCTGGTGGGATTCCCAGTGAACAGCTGCACGATAAAGCCCCTTTGAAAGCAATGGGAGACTGAGAACTCAAGCAGTTAATTGCAGCCACTTGCATGTAATTGCTCAAGCATCGATAACCTGTGAATGATCAGCCCTGGATGCAGGCGGTCTACATCCAGGGCTGATCATTCGCAGGTAATCGCTCCATGAGCAGTCAGTCTCTTATTGCTTTCAATGGGGCTTCCTTTCGCAGCTAAATCGCCAGGAACCCCTACTGTGGCTCCCGCATGTAATGGCACACGGCTCCATTTGCAAATGTGAATGGGACATAATTTCACTCTCACTTGCACATGTTCTAGGACCAGAACACAGATACACATACATACACACACACACACACACACACACACACACACTAAACGCTGTACCAACAAAATTTGACTTTCATGGGAACCTTACAGAAGTCAATAAATACGATTTTCCAATCAATTTCTCCAGATAGGAAAAAATATCAATCAATAAATCGATAACACATTTGATCGATATGCCACACATAGGAATGTGGATTTCGACTGAAAGCAAAGAGAATATACATTACTGTATGGATCACATCTCTGTATCCACTATAATCTCATAATATGATTGATCAAAATAGGATCTTTCTAATGAACAAAGCAGCACAGTGCAGCTGATCAACGCAAAATGATCAATTTTCAGTCCTGCTTGATCGACTCAGTTTGATGGAATCCGATCTAAACTGAGTCTGAAATTGAGGCTAAAATGATCAGAAGGAAAGTTATGGCTATTTGATTTTTTTGTGAATTTGATCATTTTGAGTGAATCACACATCAATTGGAAATTAAACATGGCGTGACCACCATTAAAACTGATACCAAGCAGAAATAAAGGACATCAACAAATGCAACTCTGTAATCATCAATATACAGTGAGGAACAGAAGTAGTTAAACACCCTGCGATTTTGCAAGTTCTCCCACTTAGAAATCATGGAGGGGTCTGAAATTCACATTGTAGGTGCATTCCCACTCTGAGAGGCAGAATTAAAAAAAAAAAAAAAAAAAAAAAAAAATAAAAAATCAGGAAATCACATTGTATGATTTTTAAAGAATTTATTTGTCTTGAACTGCTGAACATAAGTATTTGAACACCTGAGAAAATCAGTGTTAATATTTGGTACAGAAGCCTTTGTTTGCAATTACAGAGGTCAAACGTTTCGCTGAGCAACACAGAGTTTCAGCAGGAGGTTGTTGCTCAAAATCTCACAATAAATGGCCCCATTCGTCCTCTCCTTAATACAGTGCAGTTGTCCTGTCCCCTTCGAAGAAAAGCACCCCCCAAAGCATGATGTTACCACCCCCATGCTTCACAGTAGGGATGGTGTTCTTGGGATGCAACTCATCCTTTTTCCTCCAAACACGACGAGTGAAGTTTAGACCAAAAAGTTCTACTTTGGTCTCATCTGACCACATGAGTTTCTCCCATGCCTCCTCTGGATCATCCAGATGGTCATTGGCAAACTTCAGATGGGCCTGTACATGTGATGACTTGAGCAAGGGAACCTTCCGTGCAATGCATGATTTGAAACCATGACGGCATAGTGTTCTACTGACAGTGACCTTTGAAACTGTGGTCCCAGCTCTCTTTTTGTCATTGACCAGCTCCTCCCTTGTAGTTCTGGGCTGATTCCTCACCTTTCTTATCATCAGTGATACCCCACGAGGTGAGATCTTGCATGGAGCCCCAGTCCGAGGGAGACTGACACTCGTCGTTAGCCTCTTCCATTTTCTAACAATTGCTCCAACAGTTGATCTATTTTCACCAAGCTGCTTGGCAATTGCCCCGTAGCCCTTTCCAGCCTTGGAGGTCCACAATTTTGTCTCTGGTGTCTTTTGACAGCTGTTTGGTCTTGCCCATGGTAGTAGTTGGCGTCTGACTGACTGTGGGGTGGACAGGTGTCTTTAAAAGGGCTCAGACAGGTGCTACTAAGTTAGATTAATGAGTGGAATAGAGGTGGACTTTTTAAAGGCACAGTAACAGGTCTTTGAGAGCCAGAATTCTTGCTATTTCTCAGGTGTTCAAATACTTATGTTCAGCAGTGCAAGACAAATAAATTCTTTAAAAATCATACAATGTGATTTCCTGAATTTTTTTTTTTTATTCTGTCTCTCAGAGTGGGACTGCATCTACAATGTGAATTTCAGACCCCTCCATGATTTCTAAGTGGGAGAACTTGCAAAATCACAGGGTGTTCAAATACTTCTGTTCCTCACTGTTTCCTGAATTTAACTTGATATCAGCATTTTGTAGTTTCAGTACAGCAGAACCCTGAATGGGGGAGAGAGAAGCTGCACAATGAGCTAATCAAGTATGTTGCAGTGCAAGGAGCATGATAACAGGAGGAGATAGAGAGATAGAGTGGTAAGCTCATAAGTCTGCGGTTTCTCCTTTTACTGCCCATATCGGGATGGGGGGTGAGAAGAAGATAAGAAGATCTAAAACGTGAAAGTGAAGCTGCAGAAGAGAAACATCTGGTCCCCTCCATTGTCCAGGACTGTGTGAAAGAGTGATGTAAACCTCAGGACCAGATGAACAGAAGCCTTAGGACTGGATAGCAGGTAAAAACAGTTTTCATGTACATGTGCCATCTGTGTATTGTGCTCTTTGCCCATAGTTAAGCTTGAAAGGAAAAAAAAAAAAAAAAAATCACTCTCAAAAAAATATGCACACTGTTTATGTACAGAACTTCTCCTAAAACATAAATTTCCAGCCTGAATGATTGGCTCACATTTCATAGCAGTCAGCACTGAACTGGAAGTCAAATAATCTCCTACAATAGTATTTTTTTCTGCTTTGAAATACAATGGAAACCACATCTGTATGTACCTACCTCTTCACCGAATTTTGCAACAGTATCTGCTGGTTTAGATCTGGTGAAGGTTCGTGGTGAGACAACCGGGGATTCCTGCTGGAGTAAACTTTCGGCTTTGGACTAAGACGTAAAACAAACATTATGAAGCAATTGGAGAACACATGTACTTCTACAGGAGGTAATTACTATTATAGTGAACTTGAAGAAACAGTGCTACATGTGTATAGAGTCAGAAACAAAAAGGAGGTTTTCAAACAGTTAGAACTATACTCCCAATACAAAAAGGTCAAGGAAAGTTTTCTGCGGTTTTTTAGATGTGCACTGAAAGCGATCAGTTAAACCAGATGTGGACATTGAACAAGCTACACACACCCAATAACATTTCATGTTTAGCACGCTCAGTCCTTTTGCTCTGCTGGACTCCCTTTCCCCTATTCCCCTCACATTTGTCTGCAATTCCAGGCCGGCAAAATAGCAGTCCATAGTTGATGTGTAAATATGGCAGCTATAGTATTACATCTGCTTCTGTCAAAAAGCAGACCTTCTGAAACATTGTTCAAAAACAAGTGTTAATAAATTAAACACTATTAAAAAAGAAAATTCAAAAGCCAAACTGGAGAAGGGGATTTTTTTTAAAATTATTATTAATTCTATTTTTGTAACCAATAATAGTTAAAAATCCACATTGTTATTTGTTCATTATTTTTTTACTGCCTCTTAAAGGCCAAGTCAACCTTTTGCAATAAATACAAAAAAATATTATATAAAAACAACAACTGCACAAATATTTTCTGAGAAGAATATGTGCTTTTATTATTTTTCTTTGCAAATTAGCTTGCAAAGTATTGTAACTGTAATTAACGGGCCGTGAGCACAATGCCAGGTTCCTGAAGTCCAAGCGGAGCCAATTTCAAATCTGACAGCTGCTGCAGGGGAGAAGTACCTCTGCACATTGTCAGAGTGGGGACTGTTTTGAGGGTGGAGGGGTCCACTTGGCATGTTACAACTCCAAATTTGGGTGTAAAAACATACCATGGTGGAGTAAGCCTTGGATAAAAAAAAAAAAAAAAAAACCACAAAAACATTAAAAAAGGGAAAAAAGCGCCTTTTTGTTCTTTTGAAAATATCTCTTTGCAATGCTTTATACCTGAATCAACATTTTTGTGTCAAGTTAAACAAGACAAGTTATAAAATAAATATTATACTTTTTATCTACAGTACGTTGTTTTTTTTTTTTTTAAATTATGGTTATCAAAGTTTTGTTACATTTCTTGTCAATAGATTGAGACCAAGCCAGCCGCTCCCACCCCATACACAGTCTGGAGCTCCAGGGAGTGCTGGAGGGGCACAGAACAGAGAGGTGACTGGCAGTCACTGCTCTGTGCTCAGAGAAAACCCGAGAACTGAGCAATCGGCAGTCTTTGATCACACAGTTCTTGTTGTAGAGCTGGCAGAGGAAAGCTGCAGCGTCGGATCGAGAATGAGTGTTTATTTTTTCTGATTCCCACACTTCGCTTTTAATGATAAAGTCTTCTAAATGTGAACCTGTAGTTTACACACAACAGGCAAAGTACCAGGTCCACTTTAATACAGGCACAGCAAAGCCTCCATGAGCGCTGACTTGTCTTCTACCTAAGCTCAGGACTGACAACCACCACACTTTCTGGACCAATTAATAAAAGTAAAACTGTCCATTAAAAAAAAAAAAAAATGGCATTTCATTATCTTTCATGTAATCCAGCAGCACCATAGTTTATGTGATCTTTGTTAGCATCTGTCATCAGCACTGAGTTCATGCAGCAGAAAAAAACAGCCTTACAACCTGACAATTCTGCTCTGACAGAGAAAGAATACAAGTAAATAATAAAAAGCGAAGTAATCCCATTACACATTATTATAACCGTTTAAAAGTGGAGGTTCTGATTATCAGAAATGTTGTAGTTCTACTGCTAATTAGTTAGTAAGACATACAGTGGATATAAAAAGTCTACACACCCCTGTTAAAATGTCAAGTTTCTGTGGTGTAAATAAATGAGACAAAGATAAATCATTTCAGAACTTTTTCCACCTTTAATGTGACCTATAAACTGTACAATGCAGTTAAACAACAAACTAAAATCTTTTAGGTGGAGGGAAGTAAAAAATAAAAAAAAATAAAATAATATGGTTGCATAAGTGTTCACACCCTTAAAACTAATACTTTGTTGAAGCACCTTTGATTTTATTACAACACTCGGTCTTTTTGGGTATGAGTCTATCAGCATGGCACATCTTGACTTGGTAATATTTGTCCACTCTTCCTTGCAAAAACACTCCAAATCTGTCAGATTGCAAGGGCATCACCTGTGCACAGCCCTCTTCAGATCACCCCACAGATTTTCGATCGGATTCAGGTCTGGGCTCTAGCTGGGCCATTCCAAAACTTTATTTTCTTCTGGTGAAGCCATTCCTTTGTTGATTTGGATGTATGCTTTGGGTCGTTGTAATGCTGAAAGATGAAGTTCCTCTTCATGTTCAGCTTTCTAGCAGAAGCCTGAAGGTTTTGTGCCAATATTGACTGGAATTTGGAACTGTTCATAATTCCCTTTACCTTGACTAAGGCCCCAGTTCCAGCTGAAAAAAAACAGCCCCAAAGCATGATGCTGCCTCCACCATGCTTCACTGTGGGTATGGTGTTCTTTTGGTGATGTGCAGTGTTGTTTTTGTGCCAAACATATCTTTTGGAATTATGGCCAAAAAGTTCAACTTTGGTTTCATCAGACCAGAACTTATTTTCCCACATGCTTGTGGGAGACTTGAGATGTGTTTTTGCAAAATTTAGCCGGGCTTGGATGTTTGTCTTTGTAAGAAAAGGCTTCTGTCTTGCCACTCTACCCCATAACCCAGACATATGAAGAATACGGAAGATTGTTGTCACATGTAACACAGCCAGTACTTGCCAGATATTCCTGCAGCTCCTTTAATGTTACTGAAGGTCTCTTAGTTGCCTCCCAGACCATTTTTCTTCTCGTCTTTTCATCAATTTTGGAGGGACGTCCAGTTCTTGGTAATGTCACTGTTGCGCCATATTTTCTCCACTTGATATGACTGTCTTCACTGTGCTCCATGGCATATCTAGTGCCTTGGAAATTCTTTTGTACTCTTCTCCTGACTGATACCTTTTAACAATGAGATCCCTCTGATGCTTTGGAAGCTCTCTGCGAAGCATCGCTTTTGCTGTAGGATGCGACTAAGAAAATGTCATGAAAGACCTACTAGAACAGGTGAACTTTATTTGGGGTAAATCAGAGGCACTTTAAATGATGGCAGGTGTGTACTGACTCCTATTTAACATGATTTTGAATGTGATTACTTAATTCTGAACTTAGCTATATCCCCCGTTATAAGAGTGTGTGAACACTTATGCAACATTATTTTTTTTTTTAGGTTTACTCCACCCCCTAAAAGATTTCAGTTTGATTTTCAATTGAGTTGTACAGTTTATAGGTCACAGTAAAGATGGAAAATGTTATGAGATGTTTTATCTTTGTTTTTTACATCACAGAAACCTGACATTTTAACAGGGGTGTGTAGACTTTTTATATCCACTGTAAGAGAAAGAAGGAAACGTGGAATTGTACTAACCCTTCCAGCTTTCAGTTTTTCCCTAAGTCGCTCCCTCATGGAAGACTCACTAGAAATGGACTTTGTCATAGAAGCATTTAGTGGAGGCAAACCTAAAACATTTGCAGAAAACACAGAAACATAGTAGAGTCTGTAATTTAAAGGAAATTAAAACACAAGTGAATTATAACAGTGAATTACTTTAGTATTACAGTAATATTTTATCCCGCATACACAATAAAATTGGTCTGGAAAGCTTCCACATGCAATTACAGCGTAAAATATGGCTTTATATATTTATAAATGAAACGGCATGTGCACAATACACATCAGTAAACAATTTGTACAGCAAATGTGGCCCAAATTTATACCCCACAAACATTCCTGTGTTGGCCACAATAGTTGCTAAAAGAAAATCATACAATTACAGCTTCACACCATGTTTCTTAGAGGTACTGTGATGGGTATTTTTATCTGAAAAGCTGAACCTGAAAAAAAAAAGTCTCCCCTGCAGTAGGGCTCTACCAATACTAAAAGGGTTAACTGCTCATTTAGGTCTGGAGGATTTGTTAATAAAGATTTATTTACTTGATCCTCTACTCCTCCACACTGACAGACCATGTTTCAGTGTTTCCTCCTCCCCCCCATGCTCCAGGAGTCTAAGGTCCTGACATCATCAAAACCAATGCAGGACTGTACTGGACATGAGGATGCCAAGGGAGAGTCCACCACCAAAGCATGGGGGAGCGTGCTTTGCTGGGGGAATGCAGGATTGGGTAAGTAAAATTGCTTTTACCATCCCCAAGGAGCAGTTAACCCTTTAACCCAGTGCACTACAAGGGAGAATTTTCAAGTTTCCATAGTTCAGCTTTAAAGCAAACTGTATAAAAGGTCAAAACCATTTTTTTTTAGTTTTGGTGCAAGTATGGAAATGTTAAAAACCCCTAACAAGGTTTTTTTTTTTTTTTTATATTGGGAGGATTTCCTTCATTTTCTGTGTTGTGGGCTTGTCCTCACTAGCAGTTGAGGGGTGGGAAAACCCTGTGTTTGAGCAGTGTTTTTTACCCCCCCCCCCCCCGCCAGCACAACCCCCTTTAACTGTAGAAGCACCGCAGGCACGATGCTTTGCTTCACAGCAAGAATTATAATCCCTGTCCCTTTCGGTGGGCTGTACACGGTGGGCTGTACAATGACAGGGGGTCCCTCTCTAAGTTTCCTGCAGCTACATGCAGGGCACATGGTTGCGAAACACTAGTGCAGGGCTCAAGGGGCAAAACCAGGCGGCAAGGAAGCGATGCAGTGCCTCCTCACTGACTGTCAATTTCTCTCTGAAGAGTGTCCTAAATGCAGATCGCTATTCAGAGAGCACCACAAGTGTGAGCAAACCTTTACAGAGTTGTCACTGAAATAAGTGCACCCACTGGAATCTTTGTCCTCTATTCCTAAACTCATTGATGACCAATTCCCCCTCACTTTCAGTCCCA